GTAAAAGAAAATATAAATGTGTTATTATTGGTTTGTAACTTTTTTTCTCCTTTCTGATTTAAAAGACAGCTGCATAAAGAAATAGTTATATGCCTGTGTTGATAGGTAGTGATTACAGCACATAACAAAGGGAGGAAATGGAGCTACATGGGAGGAAATTTTTGTGGACTGTTGAAATTAAGTTGTACTAGATATAAACTATATTGTTAGAAGTTAAGATGTTAATTATAATTCCATGGCAACCTGTAAAAAATAACTTTAAAACTATTAAAATAAATGACAAGGGAATTAAAATGGTACAGCAGGAAATATATTTTTAACAAAAAATTATTTCTCTACTCCTAATAAAGAAATAGACAAACAAAAGACATAATACATACAGAAACAAATAGCAAACTACAGATATAAATTCTGCCTTATCAGTAATTACATAACATGGAAATGGATTTAACACTCTGGTCAAAAGGCAAATATTGGAGAATGGGTTTTAAAAAATGATCCAACCACACGCTGTCTACAAGAAACATATTTCATGTTCAAAGACACATATAGGTTGAAAGTAAATGATGGAAAAAGATATACCTGGAAAACAGTAACCAAAGGAGAGTTGGAATGGTTATAGTAACATCAAACATAAATTTTGAGACAAAAATTGTTACTGGACACAAAAGAAGACATTTTGTAATGATCAAAAGGCCAATCCATCAAGAAGACATAACAAGTATAAATGCACCTAACAACAGCGTCTCAAAATACATATAAAGCAAAAGCTGACACAATTGAAGGGAGAAATAGATAACTCATCAATAATAGTGGTAGACTTTAATGTCTCAATTTCAATACTAGAACAGCCAGACAGAATACCAGTATTTGAGTAGTACTATAAACCAAATAGACCTAACAAATATCTATAGAACACTATACCCAACAAAGGCAGAATACACATTCTTCTCAAATGCACATAGAACAGTCTCCAGGACAGGTCACATGTTAAACCGTAAAACAAGTCTCAAATTTTAAATGAATGAAATGTTACAAAGTAAGTTCTCTAAGCAAAATGAAATGAAATTATAAATCAATGACAGAAGGAAATTTTGGAATTTTACCAACATGTGGAAATTAAGCAACACATATCTAAACAACACATGTCACTGCTTTTTTACCAAAGTGGTAATTATAAGGAAAACTAGACCTCTGAGTCAGATATTTAAAAAATACTCACAGAATGACTAGAAAGGCACAGAAAGTAAATGGAAGTCTCTATTTGTCAATCCCAATACAACATAGCCCTATTCACCACATTCTAAGGCCTTTCCAGCTTCTTCCTTTCTCTATTAATTCTTCTACCACTAATGAAAACATAGAATTTGAACTCTATTGGTTTGGGAAAGAATTAACCCTCTTCCTTTGGAGCGTCAATGATGTCCAGGACCAGTCAAAGCCACAGGTTAGCAACACACCAAAATGGATCTCTGAGGGAGACATGATCATCATGCAAACCCTTTGGATAGTTCTCAGGGTTCCTGAGCGTAACAGTGTTACGGAATTTAAAGAGAGATGTGAAAGCAAATTATAAGCCTTGAGGCTAGCAAGGAACTTTTAGTAATTAACGCAAGAATCATACTTATTAAGAGTCTTCAGGCAATGGATTAATTTGTCCTTCTTAGCAATCACCATGAAGGAATCAGTCAGACAAGTAAATGGCACACAGTAGCACTGAATGTTTTCTCTTTTCTGAAAAATTATTAATTACTTGCAAAATTATCTTCCAATTATCTGCAAAACTTACAAAAATCTGTCCTCAGAACTACCACATATAGAATATGAAAAACTGGTATAAGGAAGGTCTGTCTTTGACAAAGCAGGACTTCTACTGATCCATAAGAAATGACGCTCATTTTGGTAAGTCCATGAACATTCAGATGGCAATTTCTAAGTAGCACCTAATAACAACAGGCTTATAAAATAAGCCAGGCCTAAATTAGAAAAAAAGTTCAAATTTAACCTTCTGGATACAGATTTGTAGCATACTATTACAAATCCATGACTAAAACTCGATGCATTTCACTTATGCTGTAACAACACGCTGTTAATACTCTCAGTGAGATTGTAAAGACTGATTTCTTTCTGGTAAACTGATGATTCCCTCCACCAATATTAATTGCTCCTACCTAATGTTATGCCATCACATGAGAGTTATTGCTTTGGGTCATAAATGAATTTTCTTTTGAGGAGGCTGAGGAGTGAGATATAGTCACTGCCATTAATAATCCTTTCTACACAGTGGGGCCTGGGTGGCTCAGTCCATTAAGCGTCTGACTCTTGCTTTCAGGTCAGGTCATGAGGTTGAGTCCAGTGTTGGGGGCAGCTGTCAGCACGGAGCCTACTTGGGATTCTTTCTCTCTCTGCTCCTCCCCCCGATCACATGCATGCTCTATCAAAATAAATAAACATTAAAAAAAATAACAATCCCTTCAATACAAAAGGAGTTAAATAGAACATGAATATGTTAAATGAATCTCAAGAATTGAGGACACTTTACAGGACATATTACTTAATTTTCTTTTAGTTTATATTTCTCATAAAATTCAGAATTTGTAAAAACAAAAGATTCTCCAATTGGCTGTTCTACTATATTTGAAGTTGTGAGGATGTAAGGCAGAGGCAACTGCAAGCATCTTGCCGCCTGTGAGGAGAATAGATCTGAGAAAAGAACCACCTCCAAGGAGACAAAACCAAAGACTGACAAAACTAGAATCAGAGATTGGGGGATATCATTTGTACTCTCCATGAAGTTTCATCTCAACTTCGAGGGGACTTTTTAGGAATGTGATTGTGCTGCACTTGCTAGAATCCACCGATAGAATTGCTACCTCTGCTCCCATAAGATATCGATGGCTTTGTCTTCTGTGAGACAAGAAGGTTGCTGAGACAGGGGTGTTACAGCATCATTTTTATAACTAGACCCCAGCCCCACTCCTTAGTCTGGCTTTCCCGCACCACTGATTTTGGAGAGCCCTGGTGATGGTCCCCATCTAGCCACCTGTAACCTCCACCTCCTTGGTTGCAAGCACCAATGTCAGAGATGCTGAAAGAAGCCACAAAGAAGTAAAACAATCACTAATGAAGAACTCTGGGAAGGTTTAAAAACTAAATGCACCAAGGCCAGGGTGCGAGAGGAGCTAAAAATGGAAGAATTTGCTGAAAATGTCTATACGATGTTGTTAGACCTCCAGACCCTTTCCCCCATCTTGCATAACCACATAGCTACTCCTCCTTAACCTCAGCAGAATACTGAAGATTTACTTTCAGAAGAGGATAGAGGGACTGTGGACTGAGGAAGACCTTTAGGAATGCCATTATGAAAACGGAAGGATTCATTAGGAGTCTACATGCTAAACAGCGAGAACCACCCCATGTCGCCATGACAACAATTCTTCCTCTTCCATCTGAGAACACTGGACATTAGGTTTACATCAGACCAGCTCAAGTGGAAATACTTGTAGCATCTAATAGCAGCTGAGGAAGGCTCCCAACAAAATGGCCAGCCCAGTCACCCTATGATAATGCCCATTAGTCAATGAATCTCATGCAGACACATACAGAATTTCTGTCAGCTTATTAGTGCTCTACTCTTGTATCTGAGCAAGCAGCAAAAGATCGCCAATCATTTGAAAAAAGGGTGTGACATCAAAGACAGTGACCAAGAAAAATGACCAGAAAAAAATGGACTCAGAGACACTGTAAATTACAAAAGGAAAGCTTCAAAAGATCTCTCATTAAAATCTTTAGAGAAGATAGTGTACTTGCAAAACCAAGAGGATGATGCTATTTTAAAAAATAAAAATAACATTCACAAAATGAGAAAATGCTGTTGGGACTTCTTTAAATGATGTCAGAAATGAAAAATTAATTAGAGGAGCTGAAGATAAAGTTGAATAAATTTTGCAAATGGTAGAACATAGAGACAAAGAATAAAAGAGGAGGTTTTTTTTAAAATAAGGTTAATCCAGGAGTTCTAACATACTAATAATATGAATTCCAGATAAAGAGAACAGAGAAAGTAGGGGCAATTAGTTATCAAAAATAATTCCTAGAATTGGGGAACATGTATCTCCACACTGAATAGACACATCATTGAGTGCCCTTCCATAATGACTTTAAACACACACACACACACACACGCACACATACACACACACACACACACACACACACACACATACACACACCCCACACACACACAGAGCCCCATTTTGGGGTCTCTGGATAAACTATTTTTAGCTCCCAAAAAGAAAAAAAATCAAAACATCAGCATAAATAAGATAAATCTCTGCTTTTACAATATGTGCTTATTTCAAGTAATTATAAGCTAAATAATATTTTTACATGCATTAGGGACACCTGGGTGGCTCAGTCCATTAAGTGTCCGACTTCGACTCAGGTTGTGATCTCACAGTTTGTGAGTTCGAGCCCCACATTGGGCTCTGTGCCATCAGTGCAGAGTCTGCTTCAGATCCTCTGTCCCCTCTCTCTATGCCCCTCCCTCCCTATCTCTCTCTCTCCCTCTCTCTCAAAAATAAAACTATTTTACATGCATTAAAAGGGTTTCCTATTTTAAAGAAACAAGACATACATGAAACAGAAAGAGTTTTCACTGGGAGTATATTCAGGTAACTCTTTCAATAACTGAGGGGACTATCTGATTTCTGTACCAGCAGTTTATTTTATTTGCTTTTTAAAATAAGTAGTTCATAAGGATTAGAAATATCTGTTTTCTTGGATCTCACTTAATCTTACATTTATTTACATAGGTTTAGACTATATCCCCTAGTCATTTTTCTTTCAGCATCTTAAGTTAAAAAAATCTAACAATATTAATAATGGCTAATTAAATTAGTAATGAAATTAAGTTATGAGAATTTGTGTTACCTTGAAATATACCCAAACTCTTGACATGTTAAACTAATTCTCTTCCATCCTAAAAGCCACACACTCACCTTGAGGATCAACTTCTTTAGCTAGCTTCAATGCATCTGAGTTTGCAAGATCGGTGTTGGCTGGAGTAACAGCCAAAATGAGACAGTTCTCCCGCGTGATGAACTGCATAATCATTTCTCTGATCTGATACTCAATATCTGGTGGCTGATCTCCCACGGGCACTTTAGTAATTCCAGGTAGGTCGATAAGTGTGAGATTTAACACTGTGTGGAAAAAAAAGGAGTCTTACATATACCCTCAATGCTAAAAAATATCAATAATGAAAAATCACCAGTCTCTTCAGTAGAAGTAAAACAAGCTCAGCTTTATATACTGTGTGTTGAGTTAACTCCAACTCATGTGTGTAGAATAGAAAGCACAGAATACAAAATGGCTTTGTTAGTTTTCTTTATTTTTGTGACATGATTGTGCTATCCCAAATAATTATCTTAACATAATTTGAAAGGCACTGATTTGCATATCTAAGAGAGAGCTGTCATATCTGTAACTAGTGTGTTATAATTCAAACACTGAACAATAAGTGCATATGCTGGCTGCCGGTCTTGTACAATTGCCTTCAAATAGTGTAAAAATTCTTAGGGTAAGATTTGTCCTTCCCTTCAAAACCATTATATATTATCTAGAGAGGGTTAGCCGCTCAGCCTACTGGACAGCTGTTAGTCATTTGTGGTACCATGAGGTTATGGTGCAGGCTATGTGCCCAGACTCATGGAGTACCACCAGGAGGGCAGGAAACTACCCCTGAGTCAGTGACTCCAGCAGCAGCCTGGCTATCGTTCTCTGCACACAACAGGGGTGGCACCAACATGAAAATCTGCCCCACTGAAAATTTAGTCAGGATAGAGGTTATTCCATATCATATGCCATGAACTGGTTATGTAATTTATAAGTTTCTTCTGATAGTCTGGAAAAAAATCAGAGTTGATGCCTCAGGAAGAGAATAAATAGAAATATATAGCACTATAAGAAAATCCAATAGCAGAAGACTCAACTACAGTACCATCCATGTACCTCTAAGATTCTTGCTAAAACTGAAGATATTAAAAAATAGAAGTTTTCACGCATACCTCTTAGAAAGTCTAAGAGTTTAAAATAAAGAAAAAATTTTAAGTGACTTACTCAATTCTGATCTTTTTAAAAGTCATCTCCTGCTTTCCCATAAATCTGTGAGCTCTTTGAATCATACCATTTATGGTAGTATCCAAACACTATCCTAGAAACCCAGTACTTTTTGAGAGAACAAACCATCTTCTGCACAAATAATGTATGTCAATTAATGCAAAGATTTTTGAGGAAAAAAATTTAGAATTTTGTTATTTTACTTACCATGTGGAGAATAGACTCGTAAATTAATGGGTATGGAGGAAATGCCTTTATTCATTCCAGTCACTCGATCTGTTTCTGCTTCAATCTCATGGCGAACTTCATCAAAATCTGTAAACTTTTTTCCTTTGCAATGTAGAAATTCAGCATACTCTACAAAAGACAAATTAGCACAACTTAAAATCTATGCATTCTTGCAATAATTATAAGGAAACAATGTTTCTTTAATTACAAGGCAAAGTATCCAATATTGTCTCTGTAGCCATTAAAATGAGAGAATATAGCAGTTACTAAGAAACACAGCTAACACTTTAGAAATATCAAACATAGCACAAATGCTAAGAATGCTAAATTTGCTAATTTTCAGATAAGCAATTAAGCATGACTTAAAGAGAATGTTGGCCCTCCAAATGATAAAGCAAACAGCATCTGATTGTCAAAGAAATTAAGTCTAGGGTACATACAAAGCCTACCTAATCTTATTACTAATCTTATTAGCATGTCCTTTTTCATATCACCACTTTATTAAGAGGGAATGCTAAGTTATATAAAGATACCTTTAGAAGGCAAGATGGTTTAGAAACAAAATTTACTTAATTCTTTAAAGATAAATAATATATGGAATATCTTAGCTTTAAAATATACTATTCAAGATACCACACCAATTTGTGTAATTGAAAAGACAATTTCTCAAGAAAAATAGAGTTTTAGATCAAGGAAAATATTTACCTGCAATCTAAAAAAAAATTAGTAGGAAGTAGGAAAAACTCTAAACTATATGTAATAACAGAAAATTGGGTTAAGTTTCAGTAACATCTTACTAACTGCTGTGCTATTGATTTCTATTCGTACCTCCAGATGTGTCAGGTATATGATAGCACAACTCAAAAAGGAAGCTGACACTATTAGACTTTTAAAAAAAAATTACCATTTGGGGGCACCTGGGTGGCTCAGCTGGTTAAGCACCCAACTCTTGATTTGGGATTCTAGACTCACGGTCATGAGATGAAGGCCCTCCTGGTGCTCCGCACTGAATGTGGAGCTTGCTTGGGATTCTCTCTCTCTCTCTCTCCCTCTCTCTCTCTCTACCCCTCCCCCGCTCACACTGTCAGCACAGGCTCCACACTGTCAGTGCAGAGCCCAATGCAGGGTTCAAACTCACAAACCATGAGATCATGACCTGAGCCGAAATCAAGAGTCCATCATTTAACCAAATGAGCCACCCAAGTGCCCCCGGAAAACGTTTCTTAATGATGGTATGAAATCTGCTTTCTAATCGTATTTCCTTTGTCCAACTTTTGCCCCCTGGAGCTAGCTATTCAGACAAAGTCTCCTCCCTGTAAAATGGCCAGGATTATTCTGAGCTCTAGCACCAGGAGTTCATCTTCTTCCTGAGCTTTTCTTACCACCTTCCAAAAATGCTCATTGCTCAGGCCTCCTGATGTCAGACATGGGTTTCCCAGAGCCACCCCTGCTACTCAGGACTGGAAAGGTCATGGCTCCTGAATTGGACCAACTAGTTTAAGTTTTAATTTCCCAAAGAACTGTAATGGCCTAACGTTTCAAAAGTTAGAATGATAATCAGAGACTTTACTTCATTTCAGACTTTACTGTCAATGTAGGTGGACATGAATATTTTTCTTTCTTACTTTCTCCATATAGTATGTGTCACTTTTGAAAAAATGGCCAGCTAAGGCTTGAGTTCATTCCTCAATGGTTGAAGTATACACAGTAAAGGTTGAAGAGGCTTCAGAGTTCTAGCCTGCGGAGATTACTGCATCACTGGGCATGTTCTCTCACATGTTTGCCCTCACAGGTACCATTTTTATTAGCATATAAATTCCCAGAAAATTGAGCCTTTATTTCATTTATCTACTCAGGGGATTGGCCAGTATCATGTGAACATAAGAGGTTAGAGATAAGTAGAGGATAAAACAATAAGAAAAATAAAGAGGAACAAAGGATGTCAGATCTCAGAAAACAAAAATTAATATGTAAAAATGAGTCATAAATAATTTATAAGAAATGGAACTGTAATTTTTCAGTTCAACAAATTTTGTGTTAAATGCACACTTGAGGACTTATGGCTATCATAATTATTACTTTCATAAAATTAATAAGCTTCTGGATCAGGGACTATATTTTCAATTATGTTACTATCAAGAATTCAAGTGACACAAACGTAGATTTCTCTCGGTGCCACTAGAGGGCACCTACCTGCTTTTTCCATAGGAAACCAGTGCCCTTCCAGAAAGAAAGAGGCAAAATCAATGCAATTTTCAAAGTATATTTAAATTCATTCTTGGACTCCTATAAAAATGCTTTTATTTTGAAATTTGGAGATTAGAATTGTGCAGGACACTCTCAAACCTTTGTGTCTTTTTAAGGATAGGGTCCCACAGAAAGATTTAGAGATGCTGGTATTCATTTATTTATTCAAGTAATATTTTGAGCTCTTACTACTCACCAAGCACTATTTTAGAAATTGCAGGAGGAAAAAAAATAACCTCTAACCTCACAAAGTTTAAATCTGCATGAGATGAAACAGTAAACAATGTGGGTGTGCCAGATGATAAGTCTTATGGAGAAAAGTGAAGAGTAAGGGAAACATCAAATGCTAGGGCAGGAGGATTGCTTCGTTATATGCTTTGGTTGAAGAAAGTTTCTCTGATATGACAAAGTGATATCTGAGCAAAAACTGAAGAAAAGAAGGGAGCAAGCAATGTTTTATATAGGAACATCCCAGCAGAATACGTGAAGTTGGAAGCATCTGGGAACAAGAGCAAGGTCAACATGCCTAGATCACAGAGCATATGGGAGAGAGAGAAAAGAGATGAGGTCAGAGCTGTGGTACAGACCTGGATTGTGTGAAGCCCATGAGACTTTAAATTTTACTCTGATTGAACAGAACACTTGAAGGGTTTGGGGTAGAGGAGAGACCTGATGTGACCTAGGTTGGTTGGTTGGTTGGTTGGTTGGTTGGTTGGTTGGTTTTATTTCATATTAGAGAGAGAAAGCATGCACGTGTGAGTGGGGAAGGGGGCAGAGTGAATCCCAAGCAGGTTGTGCGCTCATCAGGGAGCCTAATGCAGGGCTCAACGCCACAACCCTGGGATTATGACCTGAGCCGAAATCAAGAGTTGGACACTCAACTGACTGAGCCACCCAGGTGCCCCATGACCTAGGTTTTAGGTCTGTGGCTACAGTGTTGAGAATAGACAATAAGGACTCTATTGTCTATTGTCTATTGAGCTGGGATACTACTGGGATAATGGAGGTGAGAGATGATGGAGCTTGGACTAGGGAAGCAGCAGTGGGAGGGGTGAGAAGTGGCTAAATTCTAGTGTCCTTTGAAGGAAAAACAATAGGATTTGCTGATGAATTAAAGGTGGGGTATAGGCAAAAGAGAGAAATCAAGAACAACTTCAAGGAGTTTGACCTCAGCAATAGGAAGAATTTTGAAATAGAAAAGACTGAAAGGAAGAGGATAGGGAGATGGGGGTTGGGAATCAGGAGTTTGACTGGGGACCTATTAAGTTTGCATTGCCCACTATACACCACCCAAGTGGAGAAACAGAACTGCTGCTAATGGTTGAGGATTACACAGCTGTAAGAGATACCACTCACATTTGCAGTCATGTGTTAAGTGTTTATTTATTCTGAAAATTTTCCAGAAGATGGCAGTCAAGTGCTTGAGGAAAAGAGCAGCTTTTTCTAATTAGCACAAAAATGCCTTTGGGGCTAGACACATTAGTCTTTCATCTAGGGAGGAGTCCAAAGCTAGAAATATATATTTGGAATTCATTAAAGTCAGACAAGAGATGAGATCACTAAGCGAGAGTTAGATGGAGAAGGGGCCAGAGCACTAGGCCCTGAGTGTTCCAATGTTTAGAAGTCAGGAGATAAAGTGAGCAGGAGTGGTTAACAAGATGGGGGGAAACTGAAAAAGAGGCGACCCAAAGCTAAGTAGAAAGGGTTTTTCATGAAGGTAAGAGACCTTCCACTCCATCAAATACTGCCAACATGTCAGGTAAGATGAGAACTAAGAATGGATCACAGAATTGAGCAACTTGAGAGTCCTTCAGGAGGTTGACAGGAGCTGTTACAGTGGAGTGGGGTGGCTGATAGCCTGACTGGAACAGATTTAAGAGAGAAGGGGAGGAGAAGAAGTAGAGACTGATTGTAGACAATTGTTTTCGTTTTTTGTTGTAAAGGAGAAGGAAGAAGTGAGAGGGCAACTAGAGAGGGATGTGAGGTCAAGGGAGGGCTTTATAAAGATGGGTAGACTAACATGTTCATAGGTTGATGGCATTAATCCATACCATGGAAAAGTTGGCAATCCAGAACTGAGAAAAAAACAAGTGCTGATGTGATATCTTAAGGAAGGGACAAAAGGAATTAGAAACAAATATGCCAATTCCTCCAAGGGAACAGAAAAGAAACAGAACAATGAGAGTTGACAAACAAGTAGAGGTGATGGTGGTGAAATTCATTAGGTGAGAGTAGGGACTTACCATATTTGTGTAAAATCCTTTTATGTCTTAAAAAAAAATTTCTGTATATATTCTTAGTGGTTAAACTCTACAAACCCTATTATTTCTACCACAAAATGTAACACACACACACACACACACACACAGTGATCCAAAATGAGTGACCTAAGAGTAACCATAACAGGGATGTCAACTGGGTCTAATCTATGTCCATCACTGGGATTCATATCTGCCCAGCATATCAGAAGAACCAGTGGGCAATACCCACAAAATCCTCTTTTCTATGGGTCCCCAGGAACCTCTTAGAAGGCAATTCATCCTACAGGATGGAATTCAGGCAAAACCTACTCTGAGCTGCCAGAAGGAAGCTACCTGCAATCCATCCCTACCCAGTTCTGGAGACTCCCAGGTCTATGTCCCCTTGCATCTAACAGTATAGTGATAGATCACACATCCTAATTCCTTATTAGAAAAATATGTTACAATTCATAGCTACAGGTTTATATTGCCAATAAGGTATGTCTTATTAGAAACAAGATAAGCCAGGGGCGCCTGGGTGGCTCAGTTGGTTAAGCGTCCGACTTCAGCTCAGGTCACGATCTCGCGGTCCGTGAGTTCCAGCCCCATGTCGGGCTCTGGGCTGGTGGTTCGGAGCCTGGAGCCTGCTTCCGATTCTGTGTCTCCCTCTCTCTCTGCCCCTCCCCCGTTCATGCTCTGTCTCTCTCTGTCTCGAAAATAAATAAACATTAAAAAAAAATTTTTTTTTTAAAAAGAAACAAGATAAGCCAGTCCTGTCATGGGATCCCTGCTTCCTACCAAGCGGACCATAAACAGGTGGATAGCAGAGATGGCATGAATGTTTTTGAACAACTGACCACAGTTGCTATTGAGGAGGATTATCAGTCAGCTTGTATCATCACAGAATCCTAAGTAAATCTTTATTAGCAATGTAGAATTTAAAAGATGACAGCTTTACTTCTCTGCTGTCCAAAAATACAATTGTAGATGAAAATCTTAAAAGGATTATCACAAGAATAATGTATCACTTACTATACTCACCTCTAAGAGAATGTTCACATGAGTTTGGGGATGAAGAAAATTCTAAACCTAAACCAAAATCTACAGAACAGGCTATACTAGCTGATCAACAGCTAGACTTTTTAAGAGCTAGTAAATGTGTGTCTCCTGAGCCTTTTACACTATGGCAAACTAATATGTCGGAAGTCCTAACAATTTTATCTTGTGGTTGAGATATATTCTTTTTCATAGAAAGATACGGTGTCCAGTGGTACACCTTCTCTTGGCATGTTTTCAGTGTTCCTTTTATTCTAAATGCTTGGTAGTTGGGTACATGAAATGGTCTCCTCCTCAAACAATTCCAGACTTCAGCCCAACTTAGCCACAGGCTCATATAAAGGATGAAGTTTATGTGCATATTATCACTGAAACCCTGATAATGCATCCATGAAATTCTATGGTCTCAGTATTACCTGTATTGCTGAAATTCATAGTATGTTTTCATTTTGCAGAATAAGACTCCTAGTTTTAAAAATCATTCCTGTCTACCCAGTGTTAAAAATAGCAAACATTTAACTAAAAGGCAACTGACAGGGGCACCTGGGTGGCGCAGTCGGTTAAGCGTCCGACTTCAGCCAGGTCACGATCTCGCGGTCCGTGAGTTCGAGCCCCGCGTCGGGCTCTGGGCTGATGGCTCAGAGCCTGGAGCCTGTTTCCGATTCTGTGTCTCCCTCTCTCTCTGCCCCTCCCCCGTTCATGCTCTGTCTCTCTCTGTCCCAAAAATAAATAAACGTTGAAAAAAAAAATTTAAAAAAAATAAATAAATAAAAAAAATAAAAGGCAACTGACAGAATGGGAGAAGATATTTGCAAATGACATATCATAAAGGGTTAGTATCCAAAATCTATAAAGAACTTATCAAACTCAACACCCAAAAAACAAATAATCCACTGAAGAAATGGGCAAAAGACATGAATAGACACTTCTCCAAAGACATCCAGATGGCCAACCGACACATGAAAAAATGTTCAACATCACTCATCATCAGGGAAATACAAATCAAAACCACAAGGAGATACCACCTCACACCGGTCAGAATGGCTAATATTAACAAGTCAGGGAACAACAGATGTTGGTGAGGATGCGGAGAAAGAGGATCTCTTTTGCTCTGCTGGTGGGAATGCAAACTGGTGCAGCCACTCTGGAAAACGGAATGGAGGTTCCTCAAAAAATTAAAAATAGAACTACCTTACAACCCAGGAATTGCACTACTAGGTATTTATCCAAGAGATACTGGTATGCTGTTTCGAAGGGGCACATGCACCCCAATGTTTATAGTAGCACTATCCACAATAGCCAAAGTATGGAAAGAGCCCAAATGTTCACTGACGGATGAATGCATAAAGAAGATGTGGGGTGTGTGTGTGTGTGTGTGTGTGTGTGTGTGTGT